TACCGCATATCTAGTAGCCTCTCGAGGTTTCATGAACGTTCTAGAAGCGCATGACGTGTTACTAGCGTCACGTGACCTCCGCTGTCATAACATGTAGTTTTCAACAAAATTCCTAAACAAGTAAAATTCTCATCTGATTTGTACAGCTGTCTTATATGTGAAATAAATAAAGATTACATTCTACTTTGTTACTTCATTGTGTCCTGTCGTTCTTCTACACATGTGGTAAGGCCAAAATTAGGTTTTAATTCTGTATAACATTTCCTTCCATATCTCCTGTTATTGCTATTACCATTCTTACCTTTAAAGTTAGTAGTGTAACTACAAAATATGTCATATTGTGAAAGTAGTGCACAATGCTCTCCTACTTTTCTACATTAGCAAATTTATTCACATTTAGTGCACTGTAGAAACATTTCGTATACAAAAATACGCTAACCTCTCATTTATAGTTTTCTTATAGGACTGATATTAATGTATTATCTAAACCTCTAGGATATGTCCCTTAGATCTTTATTTGCCTCCATCAGTTACGGTAGAGATAAACAACAGCCTCATATGTTTCGTACGTAGTTATCTTTCAACTCTAAATATCGATACATCGAATGTCCCTTCTGGCTTTGAAACTGAAAGTATAAATAACAACAAAAGTCTATGTAAAAATGGCAGTAAAACGATTTGAAGCAATTTATGGAAAGAGGATCTAAAAAAAAGGAGAGTTTGCGAAAACACAGATACTAATGTTATGTTATTTGAACCCGTTTTAATTTTCACTTATATCTATAATTTGTATGGGCCATTTTTCGGGAAAACAACCACTGATTTCGAGGTACTGTTGAAAGTTTGTGAACTTCTGACTCGTGAGCCACCGTTTCAACTTCAAATCCTTATTTTCAACAGTCGCTCTATAACAAACGCTATAACAACGAACGTTAACTTCAACAATACTTTCTGAATGCAGTTCAATTACTCACTACCTACACACATTGTCACGTCACGCCGTGACCATCTTATATATACCAGCCCACCCCCAATCTAGCAAATGCTAAAGCACACCCGAAGGAACAAGATAGTTCTAGAAAACGGGTGGCGTGATACTAGTCACATGATTTCGCTGACGCAACAGTATTTTAAAACGCAATAAAGAAACAATTTCATATTTAAGTCTATTTTTACCGTTTAAGTGCATATGAATTGAAATTTTTATTAATTTGTTACCAAATTACAAAAAATACTTCTTCAGAACATCTAATTTTGTTAGTACAATTAGTTTTATCTATTTTTGCAATAAATAGATGTGTGTGTGTGTGTGTATCAAGAATAAGTGGAAAAACCCATTATTTGAAATAACAAGTTAGCTATTGCATGTATGTTTCGGATGTTCGCGCAAAGCTATACAAGGGCCATCTGCATTAGATGTTCCTAATTTTGAACTGACAGAGTAGAAGGAAGGCAGTTGGTCAATAAAATCCACCACCAACTCTTAAAATACTGGGATTTCATCGACACATTTATAATGAACCCACATCCCTTAAGTGTGGAGCGAAACTCCGCGGCAACTAAATACAAATTATGAATCTTGGAATTTATAGTCCAGCACGCTTATGACTGGGCCTCTACCGGCCAACTTATTTGTGAACAAGAAACTTCAGGTGCCCTATTGTTTACTGAATGTATATTGTGAATGCAGTTAGTACTTTTACCTCAAATTTTTTGATTTGAGAGCCCAAGACTCTTTTTTACTCGCTAATCATTTTAACTGAGTTCGCTTTAATCTACTTTAAAATTTGGACATAAGTATGTATATAAGTTCTCTTTAATTCTCCTTAGTAATAGTCCTTCTACAGTAAACGATCGGTGTGTGAATCAGCCATTCTTATGTTTTTACTATTAATAAAGCATTTTATTCACACTCCAAAACCGTGTCTTGTGTCGTTAATTTCACGTAACAAATGCTACACCTGTACTTCCACGTTTTACACCTACAAACCTCTTATTTTTGCGGAGGTTGAGTGACTGTGAGCTAGAGGGTGTTGTGTTACACTGCTAGAGCCAATTTTGAAGAGAAATGGGTTTACTTTTCATGTTAATCACAGCCTGAACTCTATTATTAAAACATTTCACCAAAAGTTGGCTGGCAGAATAGACGTCACTCGTTTTGCAAAAGAGCTAAAAGTTAAATGAGATCGGGATTCTTTTTGTTAATCAGGCGACATTCAAAAAGGTACTAGACTGGTTTAGTTGTATTTAAGATGAAGCTTTAATTGGTCAAGACAGAATCGTGGTGTTATTTACCTCACATCACTACTGGGCATGGTGTGTACTATGGAATGACGCACTGTCGTGCTGAAAGAAGTATGGTTCTTCTTCATTATGTCCCATCAATGTAAGAAGTAAAGTGGGTAAAAACACAACATGATATTCATAACTCCTTCACATATTATCAATGGACCTAGTTAAACTACCTACAATAACCCCACACCATGATACCTCATCTTCATTCTTCGTGGCTGGACGACACAGACATGCATAAAGCATTTACCAACTTGCCATTAAACACAGACCCGCCTTTTTAAAGCATGTAGCAGAGGTTATCATTTCTCGCGATATTTTATTTTGTTTTCACCTCAGTAATGAAGCTAAAAGCACCATAAATCCAGAGACTTGCTGATAAGCTACTGAGGGGGGAGGGGACGGGAGCAAAAATATTTTGCAATACATTACTAACGTTGCATATACTATTATCTGTTTACGTTTAGTACGTTCAGTGTTAAGATTACAACAGATATCGTTTCTGAGTGCCGACCACACATCAAAATGACGAAAAACAGAAATGCTTTCCGTCTGATACACTTGAGATCAACAGAATATGAAGACCGATGTGACGTGGCATAACTCGAAGGTCACTCAGACACAAGCATGGAAGAAGCAGAAATAAATATGATGAAAGAATACCCAAATTTTAACATCCAATTTGTTCAAACTGTCGATCGCTCTTCTAATAAAACCGCAAATTATGAAATAAATGTACGAGTTAAAATAATTGTGCGAAATTAGCATATACGTCAGTAGATCATATTTGAGAAAATAAAACAAATGTGTTTAATTGTCTTCTTCACTGACTTCAAAGTTATTAGAAGTCCTAGCGGCAAGACGATAATTACTGTTCCTTCTTCCAGTATCAGGGTCAATTGTGCCAATATTTTGAAAATATACTGAGGTATCCTATAGGGAGGTTCGCCGAAGTACTTCGTGACGTAGTTCTG